TCTTTTTATTTATTAAATAATTTCTTTAAAAAGATTAATTTTTAAATAATATTATAAGAAATATACATTAAAAACACACATTTTTAAATTTAGGTAAAAAAAATATGCTTATATTTGTTTTAAAACAAAATTAAAAAAAAATATAGGAAAATAAATTATATATTAATTTATAATGAGAAAATAAAGCAATAGATTTCTCAATGATTTTTCGAATTAGTTTTTGTTTTTTAGATATATTTAATATAAATATATAATATAATTAGTAAAATTATGTTATAATTATTTATTTACTTTTTAAATTAATTATTATAAGGTTATATGAAAAATAAATTAATCTTTTTATATTATATGACTTTATTTAAAATATATATAAACTGAGAAAAAAAAAATTATAAAATGTATAATTTCTAATATTAATATAAATTTTTAAAATCTTAATAATTTTATATTTACATAGAATTTTTATTTAATAACTATTTTATGAATATATAAATTAAATCTTATTTAAAATTTAATTAATAATAAATAAAATTTAATTATATTTATTAAAGTAATATTTTTGTAAATTATAAAAATAAGTATTAGATTTATATAATTACTAAATATATTATATTTTATAAACTTTTTTTGTTCCATCATAGTTTCGGATGTATTTGCTAATCTTCATTTTTCTTCAATAAATTATTTTTTTCAAAAATTTAAAATATAATATTTATTTTCAAATTCATAATTTTTTATAAGTTTTCATATGAATAAAGAATAAATTACTATATTTTTTCAATATGTTCATTATCAAATAATTATTTTTTAAATAAAATGGTATTCTAAAAGTATTATTTATTACAATTCTTAGTTAATTCATAGTAAATATTTAATTGCTCAAATATTTTATCATTACTACTACAAAATTCATTGAGAATAGTGAACATTTCATTCTTTTCAAATTTAATGTATTTCATAGAAATTTTAGGAACAATATCTTTTTAAAACTCTTCACATAATTCGTCTAAAGTATCTTAAAAATCACAATCACTAAATTGGTTTAAAACGTTTTTTTAATTATTTTAGTTATTTTCTATTTGATTACTTAAAGTAATATTACTATCAAAATCATATAAAACCGAATAAGTTTTTAAATAACAACAAAAGCTTTGTTTTGCAATATTTGGCCTTTTTCCATTATACTAGAAAATCGGAATTTATTATTATTTTATATTAAAAGCATAATAGAGACTTATGAAGAATAAAGTTCTTAAAACTTCTTAATATTTCATATTGTTTTAAGCGATATATTGATTACTTTCATGTTAAAAAGAATGTTAAAAAGTTAATTTTTTACAATCGGAACTATCTGAAGTATCTTTCCAAAAAATTAATTATGAAAGATCTTAAATTTAAGAATATGTTTTAGTTAAAAACTCCTTTAATTGCTATTATTTTTGGTTGTGTTTGTTTAGAAAATCGTTAACAATTAAAGAATATTAATTTATTTAAGGAAGATTTTATGTTGCTTCTTCATATGAAATATGCATTCCTTTCATATATAATTAATCTATAATTAAACAAATTTCCTTTCCTAAAGTTTAAGCACTTGTATAATCTATATAAGTATGAGGTAAATATATATACATAAATTAAGCATCTTTAGTTTGTATAAAAAAGAATCTTTAAGAAGGAGTTTACATAAGTTATTTTTTATTAAGCCTTGATTTTAAATAATGTAAAAAAGAATCATTATTTGACGAAAAACTTAAAATAGTTATTTCTAAAGGAATAAAGCGTATTTTTTAGGAATATTCTCTTATTATTTTGCCATCTATATCTTTTAAAAAGTATGCTCTTAGGTTCTCATGTCTTTAATAAATATAATCGAGTGCAGTATAAATTAAATTTTAATTGAAAAACCAATTTTAAAATTAATTAAAGCGATATAGTAAATCAAAATCCAAAGTAAAGTTTTCTAATTCATCTTAATTTTCCTATAATTTAAAAAGTTCTTCAGCAATATATAATTCATCAAAAAGAAAAATATCTTAGCAATGCGGTAAAAATTGTTTAGGATTTAACATTATTTATCGAAAATTTATTTTATATATTTATATATAATAATAATATTAAAATTAAAATTTAGATATATATATATATATAAATATATATATATATATATATATATTTATTATTAATATTTAATATATATTTAAATTTATTATAAATTTAATTTTTTTTTATTATTTTTTTTTTTTATTAATTTTAATATTTACAATAATATAAATACAAAAATATATTTTGTTTTTAATTCATTAACAGTTAAATTAATAATAATTTTACTTTATAAATTTTCATTGAAGATTTTTTATAATATATATATATATATATATATATATATATATATATATATATATATATATATATATATATATATTTTAAAATAATAATATTTTAATTTATATTGTTTATATTTTTTATATTTATTTTTTGACGTTTTTAAATTTTTATTCTATTTTAATTTATAATTATCATTTTAATATTTATTTATATTATATAATTAAAATTTAAAAATATTTTAATAAGTATATTTTTTATTTTTATAATTTTTTCTATAATTTTAATAAACAAAAAAAAATATATTTTTTCCCGCATTTTTATTTTTTTACTTTTTAAATGATTTTTTTTCGAAAAAAATACTTGAAAACATTAAAAAAACAATATATATAAATAAAAATTTAATGTTATAATAGCATTTTCAATAAATTAAATATGTGTTTCTTCCTGAAGAAAAATATAGTGCTTATGAGTATACAAATCCTCCGTCAAATTTAAAATACTTAATAAACGATTTTTAATTCGTTGTTTAATTAAATTCAATCTAAAATATTAATCCCAATATTTTATAAAAGACTTTATAATATCTATATAAAAGACATGATAGCCTAAGAGCATATTATGTCAAAGAAGATAACGGAAAAATAGCTAGACATTATTTAAAAGAAACAGATGAAATTGATTATAATATATAGTATTTGAATTATAGTTGTGACTCCAATGAATTTCTCGAATTTTTGAAAATGAATTAAATATAAGAATATTTATTTAAAAAGCCTTCTCATAGATTTTACTTTATTAAAACTCCTGAACATGTTTTCATGTAATCATATTCTATGGAGTCTCATATGGATATTGTTTCTGCTTTTATAATAATTTCTGATTTTATTAAAATTTATTTAAAATTATAACTATAAGGAAATTATGTTTCTTTTGAAGAATGTAATTAAAATCTTCCAAAAATAATTCCTTATGATTAAGTTGTTATGGAATTTTATTAATAATAAAATAAATAAATACCGAAATTAAAAAAATATTTAAAAAATAAATTCGAAAATCTATAAGATTTTTCTAAAGAAATATTTTGGCAAAATTAAAATACTTTTGAGGCTTTTTCAGAAATTATTATTGTGAATTTTAATGATCCTATATTAACTTTTTGTTAGTAAAAAAAATTAAATTTGATCACTTATTATTAACTTTATTTTAATTAAGCATTTATATGGTATATAAACCTTAATAAACAACAATCCCTTTTCTTAAATTAAATGGGGTAAGACCTAAAAATGCTCAAAATATAATTGCTTGTTATTTAAAAAATTAAATTTTTATTGATAAAATAAATTTTCAGAATACCTTATTTGAAAATATTGTCTAAAATTAATCTCATAACAAAGAAATTTTAAATAATTTTTTTGATTGTGATTTTAAAGATACATTAAATTAAATAAGTGAAGAACTTGGTAAAGATTGTATGCCAAAAATGCTTTTTAATTGTTTTGAAATAATTTAAAGCAATGATTTTGTTGATATGAAGAAATCGAATTAATATGAAGGGTGCTATGATTATTTAAATCATATTTTTGAATGTAGTAAAAATAATGTTGATGAATTTTACTATATATTTATGAATTATAAATCAAGTGTTTTTAAAAAAGAAGAAACAAAAAGAATAAAAAATTATTTTATGAATTGTTTTAAAAATATTATTATAATATGGGATTAAAAATTAGAATTTTTAAATGAATAATATTTTTAATAAATAAATAATTGAATACATATTATTTATTTTTGTGTTTGCTATAATTTACTATATAAATAGTTTAAATTATATTTTTATTGGATTTTTTTTTTAGATTATAAAAAAATATATATATAATAATAAATATACATATAAATTTAAATATAAAAATATATAAATATAAAAATATATATAATATATAAATAAATATAATTATATAATTATATAAAAAAAATTTAATTAAAAATCTATAATATATATTATTTTTTTTTATTTTTTTAATTATTATTTATATTATTATATAAAAAATTAATTTTTTTTATATTTATTTATATATTTTTTTTTTAATAATATTTATATTATATAATTTAATTATATTAAAAAAATCAAAATTATATTAAGTATTTTTTTATACTTTATTTTATTTAATATGAATTTTTCTTATAATTTTTTATTTATATATATATTTACTTTTAAAACATTTACACAAATATATTATATAATTTTTAATTTTTATTAATAATATTTATTTTCATTTTCTTATATTTTTATATTTCTATATTATTTTTTTTATTTTATTTTGATTAACATACTTTTATATCTTTTTTCTTTTTTTTATTTTATATTTATTTTTCAAAATATTTTTTTTTTAATAAAAAAACATTATTACGTTTGTTTACATTGATTATTTTAAATATATGTATATATATATATATTTAAATTTAGTAAATATTTTATAGTAATATATAAATATTAAAAAAAATATTTACTTATATAATTTTTTTTAAATTTTTTTTATATATATTTTGTTTAATTCTAATATTAAAGATATTTTATTATATTTTTTTTAAATAAAAAATGAATTATGACGCTATATTGTAAAAAAGAAAAAAAAATATAAAATTAATTATTTAATTTTAACTATTAAATAAATAAAATGTTTAGTCTTTGGGATAAATAATCTTTTTTATTAAATAATGATGTAATAATAATTGGCGGAGGTATATCTGGTCTTTCATGTGCTTCTTCAATATTAGAAACATATCCCGAAAAAAAAGTAATAATACTTGAAAGAGGTTAAACTCCATAAGGTGCATCTACAAAAAATGGTGGGTATTTAGTTAATTATGAATTTGATGAATTTATATGGTTTTTAAATGAATATGGAGAAGATTGGATAATGCAAAGATTTCTGAAAAAAAATAAATCAGTAGATATATTGTTAAAAAGATTATCTAAATATCCTATAGATTATTAAAATGATAGCTAATTTAATATTTTAGGTCCTCATTTTAATGATTATACAGAAGAATAAATATTAAATTTAATAAAATCCGCAAATGACATATTAAGAAAACATTTTTAAAAAGATGTATATATATTAAGAAACGATATAATAGATAAATAAGGCTTTAACAAACAAAAAATAAAATACATTGTTGAAAACAGACTATGTGGTCGAATTAATGTAGGAGAAACTATCAAAGGACTAATAAATTATGTATCATCTAAAGGCGGATTATATTTAACAGGCTGCTAAATGATAAAATATAATCAAATTTAAAAAGATTAAGTATAAATAGAAGTTTTGAATTTAATTGATGAAAAATAAAACTACATTTTCGAAACTAAAAACTTGATTTTTTGTACTAATGGCTTTACTAATAATCTTCTTAAAACTAAAATTGACCTTATTCCACTTAAAGGATAACTTATTATAACAAAACCTATTCCTAATTTAAAAATTAAAGGGAATTTTTGTGCTGATTATGATAGTTTTTATTTTAGAGAACATTAAGGAAGAATACTTGTTGGAGGAGGACTTGATTAAGAATATATTAATGAATCATCTTGTGATCTAGTTAATTCTTAAGTATTGTAAAATAAAATATTGAACTTTTTAAATGAATGTATACTTTTAAATACTCCATATGAAATAGATTTTAATTGGTCAGGAATTATGGCTATTTCTAAAAAAGATATAACTTTAATTGATTATTTAATTGATAAAGAAAGTGAGAATGTATTTTATGTGGGTAGATATTGTGGAAGAGGAATGATTTTATCAAGTATTGCAGGAGAAGAAATGAGAAATTTAGTATATTAAGGAAAATCTAGACTTTGAAATTTTTTTTTTTTTTTTTTTTTCAAAAAAAAAATATTTATTATTATTACAAAAAAAAAATTATTTCTATTGTTAAAATATTTATTTTATTTTTATATTTATTAAATATGTAAAATATTTTTTTTTTTTTTTTTTTTCAAATTATATTTAATTATTGAAGAATATTATATTTTAAATTACTCTTGGTTCCTTTAAATTTATATATAAGATAATTAATTGATAAATTTATTAAAGAATATACAAAAATTTAATCATAATTAAGCTCAAAATGCTAATATAATGTTATTTTTTCAATATTTTTTATTAAATAAAGTCATTTAATATTTTTACTTATAAAACCATGTTGTTAAAAATAATAAACTTATTAATTTAATTCATAATTTTTTAATTATTACTATTTTTTTATATATTATGTTTTTTATATTCACTTTTTATACATTATATTTAATTAAAAAAGAAAACATAAAGTAAGCTAAACTATGTGAATTTAATAAAATAATACTATTTATTTTTTGCTAAATTAGGCAGATTATTCATTTTTGCTTTGGACGAAGTATTTTATGTTTTTATAACATTTTTTCGTTTTTTATATGTTTTTATAAATTTAAAACGTAACTGTTTTCACACTAACAGTTTTTTTGTATTTGTGCTTAAAATAAAATTATTTTTTTAATGACATATTTAATTTTCTGACCAAAAAAAAAAAAAAAAAAAAAAAGCATATTATACATAGAAATCGGTATATTTATAAGCATTAAATGTTTTATTAAATTTCTATAGGTTTATTAATTGGTTAATAATTATTAAAGATCAATCAAAGAATCAATTTTAAGTGATATTGAGTACGTTTTTTATAAAAAAAAATTAATAAATTTAGATATATTATTATTTAATTATAAAATTATTTTCTAGGAAGTTAGTTATTTATTAATTGTCTCTATATTGAAATTATTCTTCGAAAAATAACTAAAGAAGACTTATAATAGTGTTTTTTTTATTATTTTTTTATTCTGTTTTCAGATCAGAATAGACATAAGGTTTATTTATATATTTATGATATTTAATATGGCGTTTTAAACAGGTAAAAGATAATTTCATGAAAAAATGTAAAGTAAATTTAGTTAAAAAGATAATTAATGTTTATTATTATTATTTTAATTTATTTTATTTAACTTCCTATATTTTTGATGATATTTTGACATTATAATAATATTTTAGCCATTAAGAGTTAAAAAATATTAAAAATATAAATATATATATAATTATTTATTAAATAATTAAATCTAAATAAAAAAAAATTATAAAAAATATATATTTATACATTGATATATTTATTGGAAATATAAAAATTAATTTTTAGACTATATATATAGGAAAATATAAATTCAATATTTATATATAATCAGAATAATATTCTTTATATAATTATGTTATATTATTTAATCTTAGTTAAATTTAAAAACAATTGTAATAATATAATATATAAATAATATTTCAAATTAATATATTTTTATTAATTAAATTTATATGTATATGTATATATAATAAATTATTAATATGTATTATTTTTAAATATAATTAATATATTTTTAAAAATATTAAACATTATATAATAATAATATTATGTATAATTTTTTATTTAATTTATATTAAATTGTATTTAAATATTTTAAGGTTTAAAATTCTCAATTAATTATTTTTAAAATATAATTAATAAATTATTTAAAATAAAATTCTTTAAATACATGCGAAATCAATAAAATTTATTTATATTAAAATTTGATTTAAAAAATAAATATTATTGATTTGAGTAAATCAAAATTAATTATTAAAATTAGACATTTATATTTTTTAAATGCAATCTAATTAATACGAATAAATTTATATTATAATAAATAAAAGATATATACAAAAGAAAATATAATCTACAAGAATACATTAATATATAATAAATAATTATCATAAAACAATAATAAAATAAATATTAATTAAAAAAATGCTCAAATCTCCATTTAAATTATACGGATAGTCTTTTGTTGCTTCACTCGGTGCATTAGTATGTGGATTTACAATATCCTAATTAGGAATAGCATACAACTACTTAGCTGAAAACTATTACATAGACAAATTTGATAAGTATGGCAAAGTTACAGCTTAATTCAGAAACATTTGCGTAAATATTTTAATAATAAAATTTTTATTTATATGTATTATATTTAAATAAATATTATATATAAATATATATATATATATATATTTATATTTATATTTTTTTTTAAATATATTTATTAATTAAGACCATTGTTGTGGCTATTTTATCTGTAGGTGCAATGATAAGTGCATATTTTTCTAAATACATTTTTCATAAATTAGAAAGACGATAAATAATGATTCTTGCTGATTTTATTTTTATATTAGGTAGCATTTTAGGTTTAGTTTAAGATTAATATGCCTTTACCTTCGCCAGATTTATTATGGGTTTATCAGTAGGTTTAAATACTACTGTAATTTTACCTTATCTTCGTGAAATTTCGCCTGATAACTATTCTAAAAAAATCTGTTCTTTTTTTAATAATTAGTTCTTTAATGGAGTAATCTTAGGAATGGTAACGAGTTTGCCTTTAAAATAATTCAGCTCAAACGATACACCATAAAATAACTTATGGATGTTGGTTATTATTTTCCCTGCTTGTATATGCTTTTTGAGAATTATATTACTTATTTTTGTTTTTAATTTAGATACTCCATTCTTTTATTATAGTAATAATATGCATTATGAAGGAAGAAAAGCACTTGAAAGATTATACGAAGAAAATTCAGTATAAGAACTTGAAAACAGTATCATAGGTGGTGGAGTCAATTAATCTGATAATAAAAGGTCACTCATAGCCTTTGACTCTATTGTTAATCAATAAAAATGTCCTTCTTAAAGAAATAGATTAATAACTGGAATGTGTATTAATTTTTTATAATAAATGACTGGAATTACAATGCTTATGGCTTATTTAACTGCTGTTTTTGGAGAAGTTACTGATGATTTCAAAAAACAAAATTTACTTGTATTATGTGGGTATAATATACTTTTATTTTCCTCATTTGCCTAGTTATTATTGAATACTTCCATGCCGAGAAAAATTATACTTTAAGTTGGATATGGTATATGTGCTATACTTTTATTAGTACTTGGTATTATAAGTAGCCTAAATGTAAAAAATAGCACGTTTTTATAAGCTAGTGTAGTCATTATTGTTTTTTTATTCTTTATTGTTAATAATTTAACTATAGGGCCTTTTACAGGTATTCTTACTAGTGAAATTGTAAAAGATGAGGCTATGTCTTACAGTGTGCTGATGAATTGGCTAGGAGGGGTGGTCTCTTTATGTTTTAATTTTAATTAAATTTATTGGATTAATTATATTGTGTTTTCTTTTTTTTCGTTTGCGGGGGTAATATGTTGTTCTTATTTTGTAAAGGAAACTAAATAAAAGACATTTTAAGAAATTCAACTTTTGTATTTAAATAAAAACGAGAATTAATAATATATTAATGATTCTACAAATACTTCAACTACTACTTGATATATTTAATTTTATATTAATTTAGAAAAATAATGGAATTAATGAATATTATAATATATAAAAAAATATTATTTTTATGAATCATTTAATAAATGAATTATTATTTTTTTTAAATATAAAAAAAAATATCTTTAATAATTATAACAAAATAAAAGTAATTTAAATAGAAAAAATAAAAATATATACAGTGATTTTATTTATACGAAAAAAATAAATAAAATTAATATATATATAATAAAATATATATATATATATATATATATATATTTATATATTTATATATATATTTATAAAAAAAATTAATATAAATATCTAATCATCTATTACCCTAATAACTAATTAAATTATATTTTTAATCAATTATTTCATAAATACTTTCATATATTAATTTGTTTGCATAATTTTCAAATTCATTATTTTTTTATATTATATTTTAAGATTTTAAGTATTCAGGTAATTCATCTATTAACTAATTAAAATTTAAATCCAATTTATACACATTAAAATAGATTTTTTCTAATAAAATAACTAAGTCTTTTTATTTTAAATACAATTGTTCGTCAGGCTGTTATTATTATTAGTCTTATTCGCTCATAAATTAATATTAGTTTTCTATTGCTAGCTCGTTCTTTATTTCCCTTTCTTCCATTTCATTACAATCTTCGGTTAAAATAAATACTTATTTCATTCTTTCTAATATTTCGAATATTTATTATTTGTTTTAAACTATTATGCTTTTATAATCCTATTATGTATCTTCCATATTTTTTTTATTTTTTATTTTTTTTTAATTTAGTAAAAAATACTAAATTATATTTTTATTTAGAAATCATATAAGTATAATATAAAATTCGATATAAATAATATTATTTTATAAATAATAAATATAAAATTTTACTAATTATATAAATATTAAAATAAAAACTTTTTTTTTAAAAAAAAAAAATATTTAATATATTCAATATTAATTTAATTTCTATTATTTATATTTTAACTATTGAATAGATATAAATCAGATATTTTTTGTTTTTTTTTTATAAGAAGAAATTTTTAAAAATTACGTTATTTTATAAGAAAATCATTTGATTTAGACCCTGTAAGAAAGACTTCAACACATTAAGATATTTTATTTTAATATTTTTTCAAAATAAAAAATTTTATAATTTTTATAAATGCAAAAAAATAATAATTATTCTTATTTTTTATAATCTATAATTTATTAGGTAAAAATAAAAAAATTAAAATATGCATATATATAAATACAATAAAAAATTAATATATTCAATAACAATATAGATTCAAAAATTAATCTTCTTACCAAAGACCTTAATAAATTTTATTATTAATACTCTAATATACACCTTTCCCATTCATTTTATCATTTTTCCAATTTCCTTTGTATCTTTAACCAGTAGCCCATATATATTCACCATTACTATATTTTTAATCTTTAAGCCAATTACCTTTATACACATCTCCGTTTCTAAATTATATATATATAAATAAATAAATATAAATAAAAATAAAAATAAAAACATATATATATATATAAATGTATACATATATATAATTATATATATTTATATATTTAATATTATATATAAGTATATATTATATTTATTATTTTATATATATTATTAAATATTTATATATATACTCATAAGTCATTTTTCCTATTCCTTTCATATATCCAAAAACAAATTAGCCTTAATATACATTTCCGTTTTTTAAAGTAAGTGTACCATATCCGTGTTTTTTATCATTTTTCCATTCACCATTATATATATCTCCATTTCTATTTATATTATTTTTTACATATATAATTATATACAAAATTACTTATAATTATATATTCCTTTCCCATGTCTTTTATTATTTTTAATTTATCCTTCATATATTTCTCCTGTGTTATATTAATACCTACCATAACCTTCAGGTTAATCATTTATAAAATTTCCTTAATATGTTGATTAATCTTCTTAATACATATATATCCCTTATTCATTTTTAATTCCTCTAATATAATTACCTTCATAAATATCACCATTATAATAAATCATTTTCCCATTTCCATTTGGGAAATCATTTTTCCATTCTCCATAAAAAATCGATTTATTTAAAAATATTATTTATCCATTTCCTTCTTTTTTTCCATAAGCCCAATTTCCATTAAATCTATATAAAAATAATAATACTATATTATATATATATTTACATATCTCCATTTTTGAAATAATATGAACCTTAACCATGCCTTACTCCATCTTTAAAATTTCCCATATATCTTTCTCCAAAACTAGTAAAATAAAATACTCCATTGCCTTCCTTTAAATCATTCATCCATTAACCTTCATATTAATTTCCATTTGCGTAAAAATAAGTTCCTTTTCCGTTTTTTTATCCGAATTATAATTATCCTTCGTACCTTTCTCCACTAGAGAACAAATAAATACCATATCCATGAAAAAGATTGTTTTTCCAATCTCCAGCATATACTTCTTCGTATTAATTATTGCCATTTTTTTTCTTATAATAATAAATCCCTTTTCCCTACCTAATACAATTTTCGTCTAATTCACCTTAGTAAATAGAATTATCAAGGTATTCTTTTCTTTATATATTGGGTTTTAATTAACTTTAATCGTCATATAAAATATCTTCTTCTAACTTTTTTATATAGTTTAGGAAAAAATCGGAAGTATAAACATTCTATGTAAGGGACATTTTACTCATTCTGGTATCAAAAGTGGAATAATGTGGGTACATATTATCTTTTTGTTTATATATTTATATAGGAGAGGAAGAGTATTTATTATTAGTAGAGAAATTTTTAGAAAATTAAGGTTTTTTTGAAGGTGTAGAGTACTTATTTGTACTATATTATAATTATATATTAGCATTATTATTATTTTGAGTATTTTATAATAATGAAAATTGATTTTATTATTTTTTTTTAGAAAATAAATTATTGCGGATTTATTTAGTTCTTTATCTTAAAGAAAATCTTTATAAATTTTCTATATTTAATTGCATTTTTTGAGGTAAATTTAAGTCTTTTTATTATAAAATACCTTATTTTAATAATTTTTTGATATAGCTTCCTCCTGCTTTAAATATTTGCAAGTTTTTACTTTTATTTAAAATAAATGAAAATGAAGGTCTTAAATTCGCTTAAAAATTGATCATTTTTTATATTAAATCATCAAATTCTTTACTATACCCTATATTATATTTATTTTCGATTAAATTTTACTCTAAATTAATTTCTTAAGTAAATATTTAATCGATTAGTGTATTTTGGAAATATATATTGGATTTATATTAGGTTAAAAACAATACTAAAAGTCCAAATGAATATATATCGCCTTTTTATATTTATTAATTGCCTTTTTCTTCGTTATTTTTTATTTCTGGTGATATAAAAAGACTATATATATTAAATAATATATATATATTTATTATTTTATTATACTTTTTAAAATTATTTTATTATGTAAATTATGTATATATAAGCTTAAATTCAGGCTCGTTTTTCGTATTTAAAAAGCAAGCTATATTTTCAAATCCTAGATTTCCGTGCGGTGTACCTAAAATTTCCATATGATATAACGCTTAAGATATTTATTAAAAAATTTTAAAATAAGTATTTCCAGGTCATTTTCTTTAGCCAAATTTGTCCATATTTCTTCTAAATAATACTCAGGGTATTCAAATAGTAAATAAAATACACTCTTTTCATCGTCAATATAAGATGGAAGTTCTGTAAAACCAATAAATTAAAGAAAGTAAGGGTTTTTATTCAATTTTAGATTTATTTGTTAAATTTAGACAAGTAGTTGTTCTTTTTGTTACATATCTTAGATTTCAAGTTGCTTTATAATTATTTTCTTATTCGTTAGGAGGTTTTTGTATATTTAATATTCACCTCCGAATGCAAGGTTAGTTGAGTTTTCAATGAATGTATAGTTTTTTTTAAATTCTGCTTGAAAATGTATTCTGTATTTCTATAATTCCATTTTATTTATACTTCGTTAAATCTATTTTTTTTTTTTTTTACGTTATAAAATTAAAAAAATATAAAATAATTTTACAGTTTAAAAATATTATAAAATTTTTAATAAAAAAATAATTTGTTGAATTTTTAAGCTAATATATTAATTTTATAAAAAAATGTTAATTTTAATAATTGATTAAAAATAAATTATATCAATATTATTTTATTAAAAATAAATATATATATATATGTATATATATTTATATATATTTCATTTATATATAATATTTATTAATCTTTCATTTTTTATAATACTATCTTAATTTTAATTATTTTATTTTTTTTCTATTATTTAATCAATTAAACAAATTTAAATTTCAAAATATTAATCTTTTTCGTATTTATTATAAAGACAATAATTTTTGAATTTTTTGAAAGACTTTTTTAAAATTTCTTGATTTTTTTTATTCATAAATTATTTAAAGATTAATTAAGAATGTGTTATTTTTTTCCAATATAAGATTATTTTTTTCTAGTATTTTTTTTTCAAAAACTAATTTATTTTTTTCTTTTTTGACGTTATTTTTTCCAAAGTATTTTTCTTAAATCTTTTGAACATTTATTCAACAAAATAAATATCTATTTATTAATTTATCTTCAATTCAATTAAATAATCTTTCCAACTCTTAAAAACACGCACTAATTTTAAAGCTTCCATATTTGATCGAACTGCCAAAACCCATTTTTTATGTATATTACATATTTATTTTAATGCTGAAAATCCTTTTTTTAATATTTCTATTTTTTTAAATGCTTAATTTTCATATAATCTTAATTCATTTTAGTATTTTACTTTATTATATTAAATATTAAATTTTAAAATATTTAAGATAAATATTTTTAGTCTTTTTTCATTTTTTTCATTAAATTATTTCATTTTAAAAGCTTTTTCGATTATTATAGAAGTTTATTTTATGTAATTTTTTATATTTAGGCTTATGTATTTAAAAATAAGTTTTTTTAAACGAATTTAGTATATTTCTTATGTAATGTTTCTTTATTTTATTTCCTATTCAAAATTGTTATATTAAGAAGTAGTCGTTAGTACAATCTTTTGGTTATTTTCCTCAAAAATATTTTTATTTTTATTGTTATTTTAGTATTAATATAATTTTGATAATGTTAATATTTATTATGTTTTAATTTCATTAAAATTTTATGCTTCATATTTTTCTAAACTATTCTGATATTTACATATACTTTCGTTTGTATTATTTTTTTCTTATTAAGTATTATTATTTTCCTTAAATTAATTAATATTTGTATTTATTTAGTTTTAAATATTTCCTTTATTTTCATAAAAAAGACTATTTTTTTATTATTCAGTATTTAGAATATTCGAAATTTAATATTTACTTTAAAAAATATTCTATTAGTATTAACTTTCGCTCATTTTTTCAGGAAATTCTTCGTTTCTAAAAATTTAGCTTTATAAGTTTTTACTGTCAATGAATTTTTGACTTTATACGAATTCTTTGGCAATTAATATCTCTTATTATTATTTTTAATAATTTTTATGTATTGAAAATATTTCTAATGTTTCATTTTATTCATATTATTATGTTTGTTCACAAGATAATATTTCTTACTATTCTTAATTATTTTAATATTATTTATTATTTAATTAAGTATTTATTTAATGTTCGTATTCTAGTATATTTTAATATTCTTTTTATTATTTATTATTTTAATAATCTTCTTTTTATTAATTATTTTAATAATCTTTTTCTTATATATAATAATCTTCTTTTATTTATATAATGTTTTATTAATCTTCTTTTTAATATATATTACTTTAATAATTTTATTATTCTTATATATTTTTTTAATTTTCTTCTTCTTTTTAATATTGTTAATATCTTTCTTCTCTATATTTTTATGTTTGTTATAAACTTTATCCTTATTTATAATCTTCTAATAGATCTAAAATAAAATCTTCTTCTTCTTCTTTTTTTTATATTAAAAAATATTAGAAAATTCATAATTTTCTTATTATTAATTCTCATTTATATAATTTTCATTTTTTTATATTAAATTTTATTCTTAATTTGTTTTCCTATTTGAATCATTTTCTTATGGAGTATATAATAAATTATCATTAATTTCTTCGCTTTATTTCTAAATCTTATTAGGTGTAAAATTATCTTATTAATATACTTAAAAATGTTCTTTTTAAACATTATCATTTTCTTAAGAAGAATATTCGGAAGAAGAAGAAATAGAACAATTTTAAATTTTAGAATTTGGCGAGTAATTTTTTTTATGAAAATTTAAAAATTATAAATGCTTATTTCTTATAACTTCGAATTTATTTATTTTTTAAAAAACTTATTATTATTAAATAAAAGGAGGTTCTTCTTCTGAGATTTTAGGAAGATTACTTTTATTTTATAATTAACATTAATTATTATTAATATTTATAAAAGATTATTTAAATACACTGCTATTATTATTTACAAATCCAATTTAATTTTAAAAAGAAAATTCCTCAATTTATTAAATTTAATTAAAATTGTTTTATTGATAATCAATTTCTTCTTTTATTATTTTAGAATCATTAATATCTTAAATACAATTATAGTTTTATTGAAAATTTAAATTATTGTATTTTTAATTAAATGTAGCAAAGTCGAACAGAGAATTTTCTTATTAAATTTCTTCTTATTTTTATAAATATTCAAAATTTTCTTCCATTAATTATTATTTATTTTATTTATAATTAAATTAATTTAAAATATAATTTTTTTTAAAAAAATAAAATAAAAAAATACAAAAACAAATTATATATAATCATAAAAAAAAATTATTAAAAAATTCAAAATAAATCTAAACATTATTCAGCTGTTATTCTTTCTTTGTAATTTACAACGAAAATTTTTTATAAAATTTATACTGATTTATAACTTATGAAATCAGGTATTTTATAAATTCCATTTATAATTTTATTAAAAAGTCCATTTTCAGTTTAGCTTTTAAATGGAAATTCTCCTGTCAACATTACATAAAATACTACTCCACAAGCCCAAATATCAGCAGGTTATCCCATATATCCTTTTTTTGCTATTATTTCAGGTGCCATATAACTTGGAGTCCCACAAAAAATTTTAAGTTTTTGATTTGTAATAATTGAAAATCCAAAATCAATTACTTTTACATTATTTTGATTATTTATTAATATATTTTCTAATTTTATATCTCGATGCAAAATATTCTTACTATGTAAATAAGAAACGGCTTATAATATTTATTTGAATATACCTAACAAAAATAAAAAGTATAAATATTTATGTAAAAAATAAAAAAATAACATAAAGATAATGTTTCATTTATTTTTTATTTTCTATTTTATTTAAAAAACTTTATAAAGATTATTTTCCTATATATTCCATAACTACACAAGTCTAAATAATATATAAATAAATATATATATGTATATATATATATATATATATATAATATATATATATATATATTGTTTACTTATTATCTAGTTTCAAATGTTTAAAGCATTTATATTATATTAGGATGCTATATTTATTATAATATATTTATTTCTCTTTCTACGTTTTTCTTTTTCATAGGATTACATAGATGAAATTTATCATATATTTTTATAGCAACCTAATTTCCTGTTTTTAATTCTTTTGCTAATTTTACTTTTGCATATGAACCTTTTCCTTTTTTTTTTTTATTTTATTTTATTTTATTTTATTTTATTTTATAACAAAAAAATATATATTAACCTATTTAATTTAAAATCTAATACGCATTTAAAAAGTCTAATTCTTTCTCTATTTTATCAAATGTATATGTATTCTAATTTTTTAAAAATATCTTTTTTTATTGATTTTATTTTATTCTAAATAAAGTTTTGAGATTTTTTTCTTCTTTTTAATTTTTTTATTCTTATTATTCCCTATCTTCTTTTTATTCATTTTATTCTTTTAATTTATTTTCATTTTATGTTTATTATAAATCATATAAACGATCTAATTTTATATTATTTTAGAATCGATTCTATATATTCATATCCTTTTAACATAAATTCGGTTTAGACATTTATTTAGGAACTATATCTGTTATAATTTTAATAGGCTCTTTTATATGTTAATTATTTTCTTTATTTCTTTCTATTTTTATATTTGCTTGGCTTTTAATAAACTTTTTTATGACTTAATTTAGATTTTTTTTAAATAAAACTTTAGTGGATGGTCTTTATAATATTTCAGGTAATTTATTAAAACTGTCTTTGTATTTTTTTTATTTATTTATATATATATATATACATATACAATATTTTTATTGAATACTAATTTAATTCTTTAATATTGAATCAAATATAGTTTCTTTCTTAATTTATTACAACATATTTACTAATTTAAAAAAAAATATATCGGAAGTATTTTATTTTAATATTAATTTTAAATAATTGATATTTATTTAAATTATTAATAATTTAAATACGATTTTTGTTTTATTTAGTAATAATAAATAAAATTAATAAATTTTTTTTTTAATTAAATTTTTTATATTAATATTCTTTATTTTTATTTAATATCATCATACATAAAAATTTCTTTGTATTTTTTTATTTTATTTATAAAAATTTTAGAATATAATAAATATTTTTTTTATAAATGTAAAAGTTAAGAATGCTTATAGATAAATTGAAGAATATTTTTTGATAAAGAATTATTCTTTCATTAATTAAAAATATATATATATATATATATATATATATATTTAAATGAAAATAAAATAAAATTGTAATTTATATATTATAAAAATAAATAATTAAATATTTTATTTAAATAAATATAATAAATATTAATTTTTATTTATTTATAAAATTAATTTAAATATATATCTTTATATTTAATAGTTTTTTTTAGTATAATTTGATAATAAATTTATTCAATTTTCTTAACCTAATTTTTAAATTTAAATTTCGAGTATTGTTTTATTCACTTTAAATTTTATTTTAAAGGATTTTTTGTTTTTATAAAAAAATAAATTTAAAAATTGAATAGAAAAATACAAAATAATAATAAATTGATATAATAATATTTATATAATTTTTAAAACATTTATTAAATAAAATTATTTTAAATAATTTAAATTTAATATTCTTATAAGAAAATATATATATATGAGAAAAAACAAAATTACTTTTAAAAATTTAATTTAATATATTTTTTTACTTTTAATTTTAAATATATATAATAAATAGATATAAAAAAAAAATTAAGATATTTTTAAATAATTATGATTGATTATATTTTTAAAATAATAGTTTTTTTTTTTTTTTTTAATTATTTATATTAAATATACAAATATTTATATATTTTTTTAAATATTTTCTTTTATAACTCAAAAAAAATCACAAAAATATAACTTATACAATATCTCAATTTTTTTTTATTATTTTAGTAGATAGAAATTTAATATATTGTTAGTGATATGCATTGATTTTAAACTAATTACGTATAAAAAAATATATAAATAAATATATAAATTTAAGATTAAAATATATTCTTAAAAAGTTATTTTTTTGAAAAGTAAGAGCCATCATATTTTATTAGATTGTATATATTCTTGCTTAATATATTTTTTTTTTATTTATTTCGTTTATATAAATAATAAATTCTTTTATACTTTTAAAAAAATATTTGGCGTAATTAAAGATATAGAAAATTAGAAAATAGAAAAAATTAATTAATATAAAAAATATTATTTATTATTTAGAAATATTAGATATTAGAAATTATTAAGCATATTTTATATTAATTTTTATATATTTAAAATTAAAATAGAAAAAATAAATTACTCTATTCATGATATATTTTTTATGCTTACATTTATTTTTAAAAAAAATATATATTTGATGTTTTTAGTCTTTAAAATACATATTTTTATGTAAATTTATATTTTAATGTAAAAAATTCTATAATTTTTTTTAAAAAAATAAATTATATATAAAAATTAATTTTTTAAATAAATATGAAGGATGGATAAATATACAAATAACTAAAATTAATTATTTTTAAAAATTAAAATGTATTTTTATATTTTTAGATTACATATTAAAATTTAAAAAAAATACAAAATTAGAAATTTAAATATTAAAAATATATATATCTTTATATATTATAAATTTTTGTTTGTTTACAGACTATTTAAATATTTTTTTTAAAAAAAAATAGCTAAATAAATAATAATTCCATATGAAATTTATTACTAAATTTTTAAATTTCATTTAGTATTTATTTTATTTTTAAAAAAGTCCCTCCAATAATAAGATAGTTTTTATATTTTTCAGCTTTTTTTTTTTACTATTAATTAATTTAATTTATTATTTAAATATAAACATATATACAAAAATCAATAAAATATATTTATAAATTTAAAAAAAAAAAAAGTAAAAAATATATAATAATGTAAAATGGATTAAGATTTGAACTAAATAAGATATTCTAGCCCTATAATTAAAAGAAATAGTTAAAATTTTCATTTATTTTAATAAGTACCTCATAAAAAATCAATTTACAGAAAAAGTGCACCTAATATTAAAAAATACTACTGTAATAAGTAAAAATTTGAAATAAATGAATTTTCTTTATGAAAAATGTTTAAAATAAATAAAGGATTAGCCTTATTTTTTTTTGTAAATAAATAAATATAATATAAAAAATATCTTAAAAATAATTAAAAAAGACAAATATATATTAAAAAAAAAATTTTCAAAAAATATTATATATATTTTTGTATTAAATTTATTTTTTTGTATTTTTTTGTTAAAAAATTATATCTCATTTTTTATATTTTTTATATTTAATATAATTATTATAAGCTATCTAATTCATTTCTATTTTTAATACAATTTATTTTTGATTAGATTATTCTTCTATTTTCTTAACAAAAATATTAGATCTAAATTTATTATTTTTAAAATTTTTAAGTTTATTAATTAAAAAAAAATTATATTATTTATAGTAAATATATACTTTTATTCTTGACAAATTTGAAATGATTCGTTTAAATATAAATTAACTTTTTTAAAATTTTTATTGGTATTAAAAATTTCATTTTTTTAAAAACTTTAGTTATTTAAGTGATTTTTATAATTAGAATATACATCATAAATTCTAAATATTTATAAAGAAAAATATATAAATATATATATATATAATTTATATATATTTATATATAATTATATATTTTATTTATATTTTGCATATTATCTTTTTTATTTATTAAAATAATATTTAACAGAATAAATTATATAATATTTATTTATAACTAACATCTAATAAAAATTAATTAATTATTTAACTTTATTTCTTTTGTTTTGCTTTATATTTTTTATATAATAATATTAATTTTTATTAAATGGAGAAATCAATTATTTTAATTCCATTTTTAATTTTTAAAATTAAGTAATTTTAATGTCTAGATAATTTTCATTAATAAAATTATTTAACTATTTTATTCTTATTATAATCTTTTTTTTAATAATTTTTTTATTTTTTATAATTATTTATAATACTTAATTTTATAAAATATTTATTTTTCTTTTATTTTTTATTTTCATTAATATCTATTTATTAAATTAACTCTTTATTTTATTTATGAATAATTTCTTATTTATTTTTTTATATTACCTTTATATTCTTTTTTATATTTTCAGTTTCTTATATTATTTAAGGAAGCATTTATAATTATAATTTAATGAAATTCATTTTTATATAATTTCTCTACTTTTTTTAAAAAAATAAAATAAAATAAATTTTAAATTATATAAAATATTATTTTTTATTAATAGAATATAAATATAATAAAATATGAATAATACTGAAATAATATTAAATAAAGATAAATAATTGTTAAATATTGACTTTAAAAGTGAAATAATATATAATAATGAACTATAATCTAACTCTAATTTACGTAAAACTTACAATATGAGAAAAAGAAGAAAACCTTTATAACTATAATAATCTAGTATTCAGCAAACTTTCAATTAAGAATATGGTACAAATACAGTAGAATATGACATTATAATAGAAGAATGTCAACATGCCTTAAATTTAGAAGATAAAATTTGGACTGATAAATCTTTTCCAGCTAGAAGAGAATCATTATGTAAAGAATTCAATAAACTATCAAATAATGTATAAAACTCATGGAGATAAATTACTTGGAAAAGACCTTCAGAATTCTTGAATTCTGAAAATATAAAACTTTTTGATGTTATAGAGCCTGATGATATAAAATAAGGATTATTAGGAGGTTTATATATAAATATATATATATAATTTAATATTTTATATATTTATATTTTTATTTTATTAAATAATTATTTAAATATATTTTTTGATAGACTGTTATTTATTATGTGCTTTAAGTGCTTTAGCTGAATAATAAGAATTAGTTGAAAGACTTTTTCATGTTAAAGTAAAATCAGATTATGGTATATATAGTATATGGTTAAATATTGATGGAGAATGGAAAAATATTAATATAGATGATTAAATACCATATAAAGGAAGAGTATATTTTATATATTTTTCTATAAAATAAATATTATATATATAAAGCAACCAGCTTTTAGTAGAGGATAAGGAGATGAAATATGGGTTTTATTATTAGAAAAGGCTTATGCTAAAGCTTATGGGAGTTACTATGTTATAGAAGGTGGAAACCCAGCATAGGCATTAAGGGATTTAACAGGGGCACCTTATGAAAATGTAGATAATATATCACATGAGGAATTTTGGAAGTATTTAGAAGAAAATGATAATGAAAAAAATGTATTAACTTGCTATACAAAGTAAACGGAAAAAAGAGAAGAAGAAAATTAATTAGGTCTACTTTCAGGACATGCATATTCTATATTAGATCATAAAAATGTAATTGATAGTAATGGTGAAGAAGGAAAAATTGTTAAAATAAGAAATCCTTGGGGGTAAAATAATTATATATTTTTATAAATATATATATATATATATATATATATATATATATATATATATATATTATTTTATTATTATTATTATTATTATTATTT